TCTCGGCTAGAAAGCAATGAAAGGAAAATTGCACGAAGAGGCAGGGTTATTAAAGATTCCTCAACAAGAATATCTTCGAGTTACGCTTCACAGGGGCACGAGATGGATCATTTGTGATATTTTAGAGGCAAACATGTTATTGGACAATACTCGTGCGAAGGGATAAATGATAAGACGTGGGTCGTCTATGTCTCGGTGCGTTTTAACGTGACGCAAACTCATAGATGAACACTTTCTGTGTGTTTCTTCAGAGACTTGAGACTGAGTGTCTTGCATTTAAAAAGACATGTGAGAAGCAAGAGCCTCTTGAAGTTCCCCTTCCCCACTGACTTCGTCGCAAGCATTTGGAAAATCTGAATGATTCTGAGAGATGGTGGTAGACCACCTTGCTTTTCACTTTTTCTGATGTCTCTGTGAAACAAGATAATAGTGCCACTTATGAGAAAAGAGAAAGCAGTTTTCTTCAGTCGTCCTTGGACTGAGTGAATCTTTATTTATTTATTTTGTTGGAATAAGGCTTTACTTCTAAGCTGGTGGCATTTCTAGGGCTTAGATTTTTAATGGAGCACTATTAATATTTCCCAAAGGATAAGATACCATCTGTAGCTAAACAAGTTGGGATTCTGGCACTGATAGCATCCATGCTTTAGTATATTAGAAAATATGAACCTGGGATGCCTGGGTAGCTCAGTTGGTTAAGCGTTTGCCTTCAGCTCAGGTCATGATCCCACATTGGGCTCCCTGCTCAGTGAGGTGCCTGCTTCTCCCCCTCCCTCTGCCACTCCTCATGCTTGTGCTCTCTGTCTCTCCCTCTGACAAATAAAATCTTCTTAAAAAAAAGAAAAGGGAAAGGCAAATTTGAACCTATTGATGACCTCATTCTTCAATGCAAAGAAAACAAAGGAAATTTTAGTCGAGGATATTTATACTATTGTGATTAAAATTAAGTTCCTGAAGGTCAAGGCTGTATGTCCTGATGTTCAGAAACATGATCCTAGAACAAGAAATCTACTGCCATTCTAGAGTTCAGAGATGGTGAAGAGAATTAAGAAAGGAAATTTCATGAAAATCATAGATGGGGACACAGTTCTGGATCTTGTGTTGAAGACTCAAAAGAAACATCTCTGTGCCTCAGGAGAAATGGAGTTCTGGCAAGCTGAAATTAACCAAACAGCTAAGAACCCTGTCAGACTAAAGTTGAAGTCTCACTTTTAAAACAGTCTCTTCTGAGGTCCCTAATGACTGGGCTGCCTCTTTATTAAGTGAAAGTTCCTACCATTAGTATTTAAACACAGACCATATGAGCAAGAATCTGTTGAAAAAAAATAGTGCTGAATATGCCAATAATAGCTAACCAATATTAAATATGTCATTATTAAAATGAGAATTAAATGAGGTTATTTTCTGTTTATCTTCATAGCAGTTGCTTTTTATAAACTACCTTTAAAATGAAAGATTTTTCCATGTAAAAGAGCAGGCCCATTCTAGAAAATTTTATGAACTGAGAAAGTAGAAAGAAAAAAAAATATGTAGTTCTGTTTATTTATTTATTTTGAGAGGGAGAGTGAGCACATGCATGGGTGCAAGTGGGGGGAGGGGAAAAGGGAGAGGGAGAGAGAGAATCTCAAGCAGACTCCACACTGAGCACAGAGTCTGAAATGGGGCTTGATCTCATGAGCCATGAGATCACGACCTGAGCTGAAACCAAGAGTCAGACACTTAACTGACTGAGACACGCAGGAGCCCCTATAATTCCATCACCCAAGGCAACTCATGCCAACATTTTGTATAATTCCTTCTAAAATTTTTACAGGTCATGATTACATACTCTCTTACTACCCGTTTTATGACTGCTGTTAATATTATTACCACCTTCTTCAGCTGCCATTTACTGAGAGTCACATTCTGTTTGCACAGGTCTTCACGTATAATTCTGTCAAGCTGGTAATTTTTTCCAGTTTTACTGAGACATCATTAACATGTATCACTGTATGAGTTTAAGGCACGCGGCATGGTGGTCTGATTTACATTTATTGTGAAATAATAAATTATTATTATTCCAGTAATAATATTGAAATAAAAGTTTCTATTTAAAAAACAGTAAGTTTTGGGGGGCCTGGGTAGCTCAGTGGATTAAAGCCTCTGCCTTCAGTTCAGGTCTTGATCCCAGGGTCCTGGGATTGAGCCCCGAGTTGGGCTCTCTGCTCCGTGGGGAGCCTGCTTCCTCCTCTCTCTCTGACTGCCTCTCTGCCTACTTGTGATCTCTGTCTGTCAAATAAATAAATAAACCTTTTAAAAAACAGTTTTACTAAACAACCATCATCTCCTATAGATATACTAAGAAGCGAAACATCTTCCCCAACAACTCTCTCTCTGTATCACAGAACGGTGTTAACAGCAATCATCTTGCTATCCTTCATGTCCCTGTACTTACTTAGCTTCTAACTGCCAGTCTTTGCATTTTGATAGCCTTCCTCCAATTCCTTCTTCTCCAACCCCCCACCTCTGGTAACTACAAATCTCATCTCTGCTCTGTGAGTTTGGTGTGTGTATCTCTTTAAAATTAGATTCCACATGGGTGCCTGAGTGGCTCAGTTGGTTGAGCTACTGCCTTCAGCTCAGGTCATGATCCTGGAGTCCCAGAATCCAGTCCTGCGTCAGGCTCCCTGCTCAGCGGGAAGTCTGCTTCTTCCTCTGACCCTCCCTCTTCTCATGCTCTCTCCCTTTCTCTCTAGCTCAAATAAATAAGGAAAATCTTTAAAAAAATAAGATTCCGCATTTAAGTGAGATCATACACTATTTGTTTTTCTCTCTTGGATTTATTTCACTCAACGTAATTCCTTCAAATTCATCCAGTTTGTCACCAATGATAGGATTTCCTCTTTTATGGCAGAATTATATTCCTGTGTGTGTGTGTGTGTGTGTGTGCGTGCGCGCACACACGTGTATATACCACACGTCCATCCATCAGTGGACACAGGTTGTTTTCCCTGTCTCAGCTGTTGTGAATAATGCGGCTGTGAATGTGGGGGTGCAGATATCTTTTCAAGTTAATGTTTTTGTTTCTTTTGGTAATATTCCCAGAAGTGGAGTTTCTGGATCATATGGTAGATCTATTTTTAAAATTTTGAGAAACCTGCCTACTGCTTTCCACGGTGGCTGCACCAATTTCCATTCCCACCAACAGTGCATGAGGGTTCCCTCTTGTCCACACTCTCTCCGACACTTGCTACTGCTTGTCTTTTTGATGATGGTCATCCTAATAGATGTGAAGTGAGATCTCCTGTTTTTTTGTTTTTTTTTTCATTCTAAGTTTTCTAGATTTCTCTTTCATCTCTACATTCTCACATAAAACATTCTCTTAATCTAAAAACAATTCTGTATTCTACTTTCTCACTTAAAAATAGTGAAAGAATTTCCCCCACACTGTTAACACTCTTCATAAACAATTTTAATTGCATCCTAACAGTCCATTCTAAATATAGTTTTCAAAATGGTAAATTTTTAATTGTTTTTTATATACTTTTTTATTATTAAATCCCCAAACCATTACAAAACATAATGTGTGATGGCAATAGTCCAGTTGGACTGAGGTCCAGAAGAAAAGGCACCTTGAAATGGGGAGGGCTAATCCTTTACTCAGTATTCACTACTCAGGTCATTTCTTTGAGAACCACTTATGATGCAAATGTGGGTGAGAACCAGTTTGTAGTCAGATACTTGTCAAATTAACACTCTTAATATACAATTCCAGATGTTCTGCTTTCTCTCTGTGTTGTTAAGATCTTGCTTTCATCTTATCTCCAACAGCCCTCTGATTGTGCTCCTCCTGATTAGACATTTCTTGGTTTCCCTTTAATTTTTGTACCCTTAGGAAGTCATTTGGAACTTCTTACCCCTGAGAATCAAATTATCACCATCTTTAAGTTCTGCAAAACTTTCCTGAATTCCAGTTATAGAATTTGTAAATCTCTTTCTCGCTAACTGCCTGTTTCATCCATGTCTAAATCCTGATGTTGAAAAACATCCCATTCAATGGTTTTATCTGCCCAGTTACCTCACTATGAGCTGCTTGGAGAAATAGATTTCTCTCAAAATGTGTAAGGTATGAATAAAGAAGTATCACATTTCTGCCAGTTCTTTCAAACCATTAATTAGGAATCCAATTTTTATTGTTTTTCAGCCAAAATATTATCCTTGAGACATACTGTAACTAGTGTTATTGTAAACATTTAGCATAGAGGAGAGAAAAAAGTAATGATCCCACCCTCATGGAGAGCATAAGGTCTAGTGGAAGAGGCACAGAAGAAACAAGTAAACAAATTGTTTTTACTGTGCTGGTGTATAGTATGACACATTCTGATGTTCTTTTATAATATGGAAATACCGGGATAGTAGTGTCTATTCCATAAAATTCTCTTGTCTCCTTTTCACATTTATTCTTTTTTTTTTTAAGTTTTTTTTTTTTTTTTTTTTTTTTGACAGAGAGAGATCACAAGTAGGCAGAGAGGCAGGCAGAGAGAGAGGAAGGGAAGCAGGCTCCCTGCTGAGCAGAGAGCCCGATGCGGGGCTCGATCCCAGGACTCCGGGATCATGACCTGAGCCGAAGGCAGAGGCTTAACCCACTGAGCCACCCAGGTGCCCCTTTTTCACATTTATTCTTAAACTAAGTTGCAAACATCAATTTAAAGTGCTTGTCCATTGATTTTCTCATAATCATTGTGATTTAAACACATTCTAAAACAAAATGGGATGATTTGCTTTTGCTTCTTTTTGGTGGTCACACATGCATTCAGTGATACTTTGTTTAAAACAGAATTTCTCAGTGCCTTTCTGATGGCCATGGAATTATTTTGTTCTCAGGTCTTTCAGAAAATGATTGGATGCCTAACAAGAAAACGCATTGTAGTGTTCCAGGATGCTGTACGGCTCTGCTGAACTTCACAAACTATGAAAATGCTTGTCTGATGTGCCAATAAATCTTCTCTCTCTTCACCTAGGTCCAAGGATCTCATAAAGGAAGCTATCCTTGACAATGACTTTATGAAGAACCTGGAGCTGTCGCAGATCCAAGAGATTGTGGATTGTATGTACCCAGTGGAGTACGGCAAAGACAGTTGCATCATCAAAGAAGGAGATGTGGGGTCGCTGGTGTATGTCATGGAAGGTATGGTTTGTAACTCTAATCCTCTGACATTCAAATATTCCCTTTTCATCTTATCAGCCTGCACACAGATGGTAGTGTATTACATGGTACAGATCCATTCTTCCCTCTTTTGTTGTCGAGAAACAGTTTGAAGAGAGGTGGAACACAACTTAGATACAGTGGTTGACTAGTTGTATGAAGGGTTTGTGTTTAGAGTATTAAGCTGAAAATCTAGTATTCTTTTAGACATGGAGAAAGGATGATAGGGTGAGAGGAAGAAATGCTGTTTATTACACTGTGTAAGTCTACACGCCACTGGGTCATTGAGCAAGCTCATGGAGCTTCCAGAGGAGTTCGAGATTATTGGAAAGTATTTTTGGCCAGATAATCAAAGTGTCAACTCTACCTCTAATTTTCAGTGTATGGCTAGGTTTCTTGCTATCATGCTTCTATAAAAAGAATGTTTTCAGTGCTTTGTACATGTGTGAGTAAGGAAATCAGACTGGTTGGATGGCCTGTGAGCTACCTAATTAATAAGAGTGATGGATTGTTTCATCAGTCTTGTGCCAATTAAGATAGAAACTATTTTGGAAAAAAAAAAAAAAACTGAGGCAGGCACCATACAAAAATATTTTATGCCCAGGTAAATTTTCATATTGTGTATTTCTAACTTGGAATTTATAATGCCGCCTTTTCCTTCTAGGAGAAAACAAAAGCCTGAATTAATGACTAGATCAGTTGAGGAGAAAGAAAGTTCAGAAGTACCTAGAAGATCAGAGAGTTGCCATGCAAACAACAGGATCAGTTTCTAGGTGGTGATTAGTGTCTTAACCCAAGGATTTATGGCGGTGTCCTAGAATTGTCAGGTTGATAGGTCATTAAGAGAGGGGGTGTATTTGGGCAAGTGACTTAACTTCTTTGAATTTTACCTAATTTGTAAACAAAAGGTCCTACCCACTGCCACTCCTTTCTGGCAGTGGTTCTCAACTGGTGATGATCGGTCCAGCCACAGGACATTTGACAATACCAGGAAATGTTTTTGGTTATCATAGTGGGAGTGCGGATAGATGGGGGAGCTACTGGCATCTCATGGTTAAAAACCAGGAATGCTGCTCTGCTGCGCTGTTGCCCACAACAGAGAATTATCTGGCCCCACCTGTCCTTAGTGCTGATGTTGAAAAATCCTGCTTTCTACTGTCTTTACAAGATTGTTCTGATTAATATGAAATAATTAGAGTAATGTTTATTGTAAAGTATAAACCATTATAAAATAATAGTATATATTACTATTTCCAACCAATACTTGACAGTATGTCAGAAATGTGCTGCCTGCCTATGTCTTCACCTTTTAATTTTTCTTCGTAATCTTTTTTGACATATATTAGGCATTCAACTTTGAAGTCATAATTTCGATCATTTTTTTTTTCCTCTGTAAATTTTCAGCTTTTGGGTCAATGTTATGAAGTTTTCCCCCAGGCCAAAAGGAAATAAATGTTCAGCTAGTCTTTCTTCCGAATAAAAGCAAGACACAATAAACAAAAACACGAACAGTATTCAGTTGGCAGACAATTGCAGGGGAAGGAGATGAAATTATAGGGCAAGAGTGTATGTGGGCAGTAAGCAGAAAAGATGAGAAAAAAGCAAGAAATGTACAGAGGGGAAGTATAGACTATAAATATAGAGAGAGATGTTAAGAAGCGCTAACAATTAAAAAACCGAGGTTAAGGCATTTCTTAGATTATAGTTTATCAGTGGTTTTGTAGTTGATTTTTCAGATAATTTATTGTCAGGCACGTTTGGAAGAACTTCCCTATTGCATAAAGGAGGTATACCTTACTTCCGCTATTTGCAGATGCTAATTATTGAAAATCCACTCAAGACGTGCTTATTTCTAGAACCTGTATGTTGTTTTCCTTTATCTTGAATATCTCTTACAAATACAGATTTCCACACAACCTTGCAAATTTTTTTCTAAAAAAAAATTGTCTTCATCCATACTTTTCTGGTTTCTAAGACTAACTGCTAGTTCACTAGCTATGTTAACAGAAGCTTAGAAATCATAATGTGTATTTACAGAGTGCTTAGAAAATGGTCCAACATATTGAGCATTCTTTGTATAAACACTTCCTGTGTATATAATTCATTTAATGTTCAAAACAATCCTATGAGGTAAGTGGTAATATTTATTATTCTTTATGGATGAGGAAACAGAGGCCCAATGAGGTTTAATAATTTGCCTGTGTCTTCCAACTAGTTTATAGTAGAATTAGGACTGAACCTAAGTCATCTGGATTCAGCGCTCCAGCTTTTAACTCAGGGGCCATGTGTTAGGATTCTCTGGAGAAACAGAGCTGATAGATAGATATCGATGGATAGATTATTTATTTTAAGGAATTGGCTCATGTGATTGTGAACACTGGCAAATCCAAAATCTGCATGGTAAAAGAAGTAAGCTAGACATCTAGGGAAGAGTTGATGCTATAGTCCAGATCTGAAGGATGACTGCTGGCAGAATTCTTTCTTCTGAAGAGGTCTGTCATTTTTCTACTTGGGCCTTCACCTGATTGGATGAGGCCCACCAACATTATGAAGATAATCTGTGGCTCACAGTCTACTGATCTGTATGTTAATTTCATCTAAAGCATTCCTTCACAGAAGTATCTAAGATAATGTTTGACCAGTAATATCTGGATATCGCAGCCTAGCAAGTTGACCCATAAAATTAACCATCCCAAGTCCTTGGCACCTGTGTGCATCTCCTCAAACCATGCTTCATCTCCAAATAAAGACAGCAGCAAGGTCGTAGCTGCACCTGATGCAATGTGACAATTCTGGGTACAACTGAAAATCCACTAACACTTTTCTCACAAAAGGGTACAAAGTCCTTGGGTAATATTTACTCTTCTCCTTAATACCCCATAATTTAAACTCTATGTTGTAAAGCTAATACTTAAATACTGTGATGTAAAGTCGATATATCTTATGTTACATGATAAGAGGATATGAGAGAAGAGAACCAAGAATTTGGTGCACATACATACAAACATATATATATAACAAAATGAAGAAGGCATACCCATGACAAGCTTCCCGAGGTAAAGGTAAATACACTAATTTTTGCTCCATTACTTCAAGCTAATTTTGAAAATTTTATTTATCTTCCTTTTCCTGCTGGACTGACTAAACAGCAAGTCCTCTTAATTATCTTTTTAAAAACAGGGTTTTAAATAGTGTATCAGTATTCAGAGTCACAGATTTTGCAGTGATGCTGTTGATTGCCTTCAGTTAAACTCATAAAATGACTATAATCTTATAAACTGATGCTGCTCTGTCCCCAGGCTATAATCCTAACCAGTTCAGGGTAACTTTGGCTGATCTTGTGTTAATATCTTTGTGTCAGAATGATTTCAAGTTAAAAAAAAAAATCATTTAAATTTTTATAAGTTTTAATTGAAGAAATATTTCATTGTTTAATTAGCTTTTTATCAACGTATTTATTCTTCTCAAAATTTAGATAGCAGCGTTCTTGATAGAGATGGATTCTTTTTCATCTGTGAACATTAATATTTATAAAGAGCATTCCATAGCAACAATGGATGAGTAAGCTAGGGATGACCAGATCATTCACAAACTTGCTTATTACCCAGCCATTCAGAAAAACACCCAGGGAGTTTATGTGGAAAATCAGTCTGATTTTCTCTGTCTCTCTAACTTAAATGAAGTTTCTTCATATAATGCTGTTTAATGTGTGCCTTAGCTGGGCAGTGTCCCAAGTAGGATTGCATACCTACATGCCAGAATTTCACATCGTTTTAGCAAAAGAGAATAGTCACGTGGTCAGGACGTCACTAATTAGGATGACTGGGGAAAAATCATCTGGGGGTCGTATAAATATATTTTGCATATTATATATCCAATATATTTTCAAACAAAATGAGTTGTGGGACTTTCAGATACTTAAAATTGCCGGCTGGGAGAAGTTTCAATGTTAAGTTTGAGTCGGAATCTTTTGGTATTAGCATTTTAAGTCAGTACCCTATGTAGGCTAAGTTGCTAAGGCTCTGTTTGCATTTTAATTATGTTTTCAAATATACCAATGATTCTTAAAAATTACTTGAACACAGGTTATTTTCTTAAACAGACATTGGCCTTGATTATGATGTAAAATTTGTGATTCTCCTTCTACTCTTGCCCTCCCTTTTGTTATCATAGAGATACATTTTAGTCTATTGTGTTCCCAAATAAAACATATTCTGATTTTGTGCCTTTCATTGGTGATGTAAATAAACATCTTGTATGTGAATCTAATCAAATATTTTCATTTTTGGAAAATGTTGAATTTGTATCCATCCAAGTCGTTGATTTGCACATTTCTTGTGATGTTTCATTGTGGAAGCCCATGGATTACATTTTATTTAAATTTACATTTTAAAAAAAATGGCAAGTCATCTATTTAGTGTTCTATGAGCATTGGCTATTTTAAGTTAAACTTTTTAATGAAATCATCAATTTTTTTATGAGGTGCTTGAAAATGATAATAGCTTTTATGAAGTCCTTGTAAATGCCAGGGACTGTTTAATCCTTTTATAGGTATTAGGTTTTAATCTCCGTAGCAACCTTAAGGAGTAGGTATTCTATTACCCGCACGTTAGTAGCTGCAGAACCTGATGCAAAGACAAGGTGAACAACTTGGCCGGGATCATCCTACCATATATAATATATATAGTGTATATATATTGTATGTATATATATTATATTTATATATATATATTTATATTTATATTTATTATATATTTATATATTTTATATATATACACACACATATATATATACATATATATGATGATGGGGCACTGTCAACTTTCAAAGTGCAGATTAGAAGCCCTGGTGATATATATTTATCATGTAGGAGCCCATTAAAGATGCACAGCATGAGGCCATTGGATTAAAAAAAATTGCTTGATTATTTTTGAGGAAAGTGTAGAACGTGCGTGGCAATAGTGCAAAGAGAGAATAATGTA